ACCGAAGGGGCCAAAACATCCAAGCAGTAAAACTTCACAAAGGTGTGGGGTGTAGCCCAGCTTGCAGCTGAGCAGATGTCACCAACTGAAACACCTTTAAACAGCACCCAAGAAGCAGCACACCTCTAGTAGAGTGTGCCCTGATCCCTAGGGGCAGCTGGGAGCCAGTGACGCTGTAACACAGGGAAATGGCCAACACAATCCAATGAGAAAGTATTTGCTTTGACAAAGCTTTACCCATGGAGGGTTTGGTAAAACACACAGACAGTTGGTCTGTTATTCTGATACTCAAGAGTGCAATCTATATAAGCCTGCAGAGCACAAACCGGGCACAGACAATGCAGTCTCCTCTGCTCCTCAGAGGCAAAATGAGGACTATGGAAGCCCGAAAGCTTTATGGTCATGGAACTGTAGTTGAGCGGGATGACCTTAGGCAAATATGCAGCATTCGGATGCAGAGTGACCCTAGCTCCATCAGCTGACATTTTCAGACAGGAAGGCTGAACTGAAAGAGCATGAAGGTTTCCCACCCTTCTAGCCAATACAAGGGCTAAGAGCAGTGCTGTCTTATAAGACAGAAGCTTCACACTAATCGAGTGGAGCATGCTCTTGAGCTCTGAATAGTATTCACCACAGCCGGGGGAAGACCTTTAGCTAACAGGTTGGACCTTTCAGTAGGCAAGCCTGCAGCTTCCACAGATGTGGGCGAGGGTGCAGCACTTCCCCTTGTGCCTGTGACAAAAGGTCCTGTCTGAAGGGGAGCTTCCATGGGGGGCTATCATCAGACTGATGATCTCCAGGTACCAAGACTTTGTAGGCCGCTGAGGAGCCACCAAAATCAGAGACCTGCTCGACCTGCACATTCTCTCCAGCACTGCTGGAATCAGTTCCACCGGCGGAAAAGCGTAGAGGAGAATGTTGGGCCAAGGGTGCGCCAGAGCATCCGATCCCATTTGAGCAGTCTGATCCATCAGGGAAAAGAACAGGGGACAGTGTGTGTTTACGCTTGACGCAAACAGATCCACTTTTGCCCTGCCGAACCTCAGCCAAATCTGGGACACCACCTCGGGGTGGAACCTCCATTCCTTTGACAGAGGTCCGCCCCTGGAGAGCAAGTCTGCCCCGTGGTTGAGGTACCCAAGGACATAAGCTGCTCTGAGAGACAGGAGATTCAGATTGCACTAGTGCAGCAATGTGTGGGTCAGATTCAGTAGAGGAAGAGAGCGTGTTCCTCCCTGTCTGTTTACATATGACACCACAGTTGTGTTGTCAGTGCGCACTAGCACATGATGTCCTCTCAGGTGATGACTGAAGTGTTTCAGGGCCAGAAACATGGTTAAAAGTTCCAGAAAGTTGATATGGAACCTTGACTGGGTCAACGACCATACCCCCCTCACCGCTAAACCCCTGCACAGCCCCCCCCAGCCTCCGAGGGAAGCTTCTGTGGTCACCACTATGAGCTCTGACACCCTCCCAATAGGAAAACCCTGGCAGAACAGCCCTGGTTCTCTCCTTGGGAGGAGAGCTACCATGCAGGCTCTGGTGACCGTCAACCTCCAGCAGAGATGACGTGAAGGATAGAGATGATGAGAGCGGACCCTATGCTGGAATACCGCATTTTTAACAGTCCGAGAGGCACCACGGCTATGGAGGAAGCCATCATCCCCAGCAGCTGTAGAGCTGTGCAGAGTGTCAGTCTGGCTCCCAGCTGAAAACGCGCTAAGCAACAGCATAGCGCGGCTATTCGCTGGTCCGAGAGACGGGCTCTGTGTGACCGAGAGCAAATTTTCAGCTCGAGGAGGGAGAAACTCAGACTCGGAACTAGAGAACTCTTTCTGTAGTTCACGGAAAACCCCAGGGCTTGAACGTGGGAAAGTGCCCGTGCAGTGTGAGCTTCTGCCTGTGTTCGGGAACTCGCTACTAGAGCCCAGTCGTCTAGGTAAGCGATGATCCGGATGCTCTCCTCCCTGAGGGGGGCTAGTGCGGCTTCCACACATTTGGAAAAGGTGTGGGGCGCTAGAGCTAACCCAAAAGGCAGAACCATGTACTCGTAGGCCTTCTCTTCGAAAGCAAAGCGCAGGAACCGCCTGTGATCTGGATGGATTCCCACATGGAAATAAGCATATGTGAGATCAGTCGTAGTAAACAAATCTCCAGGACTGACTGGGTCCAGTAGCTGTTAGCATTCTGAATCTGTACATGCGCAGATACTTGTTTAACACACGCAGATCCAAAATAGGGCGAAGTCAGCCCCCCTTTTTCGGGACAACAAAGTAGCGGCTTTAACAACCTTTGTTTGTGTCCTCGACAGGGACCGCTCAAATAGCTCCTTTCAACAGTAGAGTCTGAATTTCCTCCCGTAACACGACCGCAGCGTCGGTATTTACACACGTCTGCACAACAGAGATAATTACGGGTGGTTTAACCAGGAACTGCAGTCGGTAACCCATGGCAACCGTGCGCTCGACCCAGGGGGACACTGCACATGCTCGCCAGAGGTGAAGTTTCACTGTGAGGCAACCGCTCAGCGCCTTGGTGGGTAGCTGCTGCCCTCTAGCGGAACAGGAGGCTTTCTGAACATCGTGCCTGCCACCGGAGGAAAGCTGCTGTTCTCCCACGGAGGCCGATTGCAGACAGGATTTGATGTGAAAATTGAGCTGTCGTTCACCAGCGTAGCGGGTTGACACAGCTTTATGGGACCCGTTTGAGAAGCATTTTAGAGACAAATTGCATCCACACATTGTCGAGTGCAAACAGCAGTCTTTATTACCTTTGTGTGCATGTTTTTGTGAACAGTACAACTCTCGCCCCATGGGGGTGGTAAACAAAGTCTATTTGGACTGTGGGGTTGAACCGTAGCTGAACCGGTCCGTTTCAACCACAGAAAACCGGGGTTTTGTAGTCCAACAGGGTCCAAAACCCGAACATGGTCAGTCCCCGGATCAGGACAGCTGAGGTTTCTTCTTGCGGCTCACAGAGCGTTTCTGTGAGTCCCCAGGAGGGCCTTTACTCCAGGGAGAGTGGCGAGGAGGGAAAGACGGGGTCCGAGCTGGGACCGAGCCCTTCGCTGTCGCTGAAGAAGCTGTCCTCTGAGTTAGAGAAGGAGAGGTCAGGTTCTTCCTGTCAGACCCAGGTGCCATGTGCCACCCTTCCCATCTGGGGATTATGGAGCTAGCGCTTCAGTCTGTTTCCACTGGGCCTCGAACTTTGTCTGAATAGCGTCGAGGGACTGTCCAAACAGACCACTGGGTGAAACAGGCTCCTCCAGGTAGTTAGCCCTGTCCCTGTCGGGGACATTAGAAAGGGTCAGCCACAAGTGTCTCTGAGCCACTACATTTGAGGCCATACCTCTTCCCAACAGCAGGACGACGCCTCGGGCAGCTCGCAGGATGTAGTCCGACGTGACCCGTCAAGTTTCTCTCTGTTCAGCTTCTGTCCAAACTTGAAAAAGACTTGTTCCACCACAAAAAGTAAGCTTGGAAACAACTCATTTCCTCTTCTCAATTTATTTGAGGTAAATCAGGCAATCCGGTACCAAGGTAATCAGGTAATCAGGTTAAAAACCTTCAAACAGAAACAGATTTATACAATTACAATCAAAAGAATAAATTATTTTATCTAAAAATGCTATTTTAAATTTACAGTCCAAATAACGTATCATCCACTGCATTTCAAATACTATTTTAAATCTAATCTAAGCAGGTAATTTCATTTAACTTTATTCAATGGTAGAATGTTGTCAGTATCATATCAGTAGCCTCTTTGTGGTTTCCCCCAAGCTGAACAGTTTTTTGCTGCATCCACTGATTCCTTCTGAGGTGCAGACTGAATTTGTTTGTGTCCTGCAGACAGGTGCTCTCACTCAGCTGATGAGCTGATCAGACCGGAACTGGTCAGACAGGAATAGTGGTGGTGTTACTCGGCCTCCAGGGGGTGCCATTGTTGACTGGCTAACTGATCTGACATTGTGACTTTGAGCCTGACACTTATTAATGAAAGGGGTCAGTGGGCTGTCGGGTGGGACCGTTGCTCCAAGGTCCGCTAGGCAAAGTGCTTGGTAGGTCTGGAGCATGGTGGAAGAGCTGAGGACGTGGGCAGTGGAAGCCTGCGCGCGGTAAATCTTCTCTAGTTGTGCAACTGAGAAGCGGCATGGCTTGGAGGGTAGATTAGCTTGTCCGTTAACTCCGTTATTGCAGGTCGGGGCCAGGTAAGCCACGAGAGAGGGCTCCATCGGAGGGAGGTTAACCAATCCCGCCATTTCTGCGCTGTCGAGGTTCAAAAACTGACCGTAACCTGGGACCGTGGTGCGGGTGGATAGCGACTTGGCCCAGGATGCCATGAGCTCAGTCACAAAATCCGGGTACAGTGGCAGAAAGTTCTTTACCTCCGCTGGTTCCGAGGGGAGGTAAAATACAGAAAAGCAGGACCTCTTTTGAGCAGGTGGAGGAGCGGGTCAGTCCATTTCTAGCCTTCCTGCTGCACGCCGGCAGAGCGGGAGAAAAGAAGTGTCATCTCACAGCTCGGAGGCTAAAGTAGCGGCTGGAGCTGAACACTCCACTGCTGAGAGGACATCCTTGTCCTCGAGTAAGTCGTGACCGTCGGGGCAAATGTCCAAAAAGTCTCCTTCATCCTCTGCCAGAGGAGGAAACTGAGAAGCCTCTAGATTTGGTCCAGTTAAATTGTCCTCCATCTCCATCTGATCTGCCCAGCTAGTAGCGGGGACATAGATCACTAGGCTGTCAATGTCGGAGCCGGGCAAAACTGGGGCAGAACGGGAAAGCATTGGGGTCCTGCTGCGAAACTGCAGTGTCTCCCAGGAGACGTTGTAGGATCTTCACGCGCCGTTCGAGCGTGGGATGGCGGAGTTGGTGACAGAACTCGCACGCCCCCGGGTCCACAAGTGCTCTCCTGGTGTGGAGAATTCCCAGACAAACCAGTCATGCTTCGTGTAGGTTCTTCTCGTGAAGAAAGAATCCACAGCCCTGAGGACAGGGGCGCGAAGCGGCCTTCCGTGAAGCAACGTCCAACACGGTGCTCATTACGAGACACCCAGCGGAGCGAAGCAGAGAAGCTGAAGAACCAAAAAAGATAGCGTTCGGTGGGCAGGAATGCTAGCCAGAAGGCAATAGAGTCCAGTCAGCGAGCGGTTAAGCTATCTTTTAATAGCGCAACTAGTTGTCAGATGTGTAGTCAGTGAGGTGAAGAGCGTAAGAACTGAGTAATGACTGTGACACGGTCGCTTATAAGTGGAGGAGGGGGCCTCCATGCCACGCACTTTCATTTGCGTTACAGGCGTGATTAAATGTGTCTTCAGCCAGGCCACACGAGGGCGTGATGTGCCATAGTACCTTCATTGTACCGAATGAATCGACTGAAAGGGAACTGTGCTCTAATCACACCAGTTTAAGCTTTAAGCTAGTATCTGACTGCTGGTGACAACTTTCAAATCTTTTTTGTGAGGCAGTTTCTGAACCTCGAAGACCTCCTCAATCCCACTGACACGTCTTCCATTGAGGAAGCAGAGTCTGGGGACTTTGAGTTGGCTTCTCATATCTCTGGTGCTGATGTCACTGAGATGGTTATAAAACTCCTCTGTGGCAAGGCTCCAGAGCTGGATGAGATCCGCCCAGAGTTCCTTAAGGCTCTGGATGTTGTGGGGCTGCTGAGTGTGGGGTACCAGGCCCTCTGATACGGGCTGTTAGGACCCTGTATGACCAGTGTCAGAGTTTGGTCCACATTGCCGGCAGTAAGTCGGGCTCGTTCCCAGTGAGAGTTGGACTCCGCCAAGGCTGCCCTTTGTCTCAGATTCTGTTCATAACCTTTATGGACAGGATTTCTAGGTGCAGCCAAGGTGTGGAGGGCATCTGTTTTAGTGGCCTGAGGATCAGGTCTCTGCTTTTTGCAGATGATGTGGTCCTGTTGGCTTCATCAGAACGTGATCATTAGCTTTCGCTGGAGTAGTTCGCAGACAAGTGTGAAGCAGCTGGGATGAGAATCGGCTCCTCTAAATCTGAGAACCATGGTCTTGATTCGGAAAAGGGTAGAATGCCTTCTCTGGGTTAGGGATGAGATCCTGCCCCAAGTGGAGGAGTTTAAGTATCTCGGGGTCTTGTTCATGAGTGAGGGAAAACTGGAGCGTGAGATCGATAGGCGGATTGGTGCTGCATCTGCAGTGATGCAGGCTTTGTACTGGTCTGTCGTTGCGAAGAGAGCTGAGTCAGAAGGCGAAGCTTTCGATTTACCGGGCAATCTACTTTCCTACCCTCACCTATGAGCTTTTGTTGGTGACCGAAAGAACGAGATCGCGGATACAAGCGGCCAAAATGAGTTTTCTCCAAAGAGTGGCTGGGCTCTCCCTTAGAGATAGGGTGAGAAGCTCGGTCATCCGGGAGGGGCTCGGAATAGACCCACTGCTCTTCCACATCGAGAGGAGCCAGGAAACGTTGGAGGGACTAAGTCTCTCACCTGGCTAGGGAACGCGGTGGAGCTGGCCCAAGTGGCTGGGGAGAGGGTAGTCTGGGCCTCTCGACTGCCTCCGCGACCCGACTCTGGATAAGCGGATGAAAATGGATGGATGAAGGAGTTTCCAAACCATCCCAAAATGTTCAACATTTTCTCGTATTTGTTGCTCCTGTGTCTCTGGAATTTTGAACGTGCCAAAATAATTTGCAGGACAGATCTTCTCTCAAATTAGTCGCAGAGCCAATGCAGGGAATTTTTCTGAATTTAGTTTTTGTAATCCAGAAAATGCAAACATTTAGAAATAACTTTGGGAGGGGTTGCTGACCTTCTTGGGAATTAAATGAAACATACAGGAAGTTAGAATATAGTGCAAAAGTTCATTTATTTCAGTAATTCAACTTAAAATGTAAAACTAATATAAAATGGACTCATTCCAAACAAAGCAAATGTTTCAAGCCTTTATTTGTTATAATTGTGATGATTATGGCTTACAGCTGATTAAAAAACCCACATTCAAAATCTCAAACAATTAGAATACTGTGTAAAGGTTCAATATTCTAGACTCAAAGTGTCACACTCCTGCAAATGGTTCCTAATAGGTCTCTCAGTTTAAGTATTAAATTAACAGACTTTTATACTATATTGTGATTTTCCTGTTTCCCCTGTTATTAAGATCCATTAAAGTGATACTTCACTGAAAACCATTTATTTTATTTTATTACTGATTATAATCAGTGTGAAGCAGGCTGAACATGAAAATAGTCTCCTACACCTATCTCCTGCATTAGCTTCTGATAGAAAATAAACTGTGAAACTCAAGGATTAGAAAGCCTGACAGATCTACGTCACACATCATTCATGGACTCACCCATCATGACTCACGACGGGGAAGGCTGTTATTGGTTTAGTGTCCAGGAAATGTCAGAGAACGACTGGACTAGTAGAAGCTAACCGTTAGCATTAGCAACTCCACAACACAACTAGAAAGAAAGAAAGAAAGAAAGAAATCTTTTATATAGCACCTCTCAAGATAAAAACCACGAGGCACTTCACAGGAACAAAATATTTTTTATAAAGATTATAAAAAAATATGTTTAAAATGAGAAAAAAAATGGTGATTAAAAATGTAAGAGAGAAAATGAATAGGAAAGAGAGAAAACGGTGGATCTCGGTATAGGTGGGAGAGGTAGAAAGAGCCTTCTTTTTCTAAAATCTCTCAGCCCTACTTTGAAAGGACATTTGTCTTCAAACCTTTTGTTCATTATAAAAGCTACATGACAGCAATGTCCTGTGACTGATGCAAGCAAGTGAGGAATCATGAAAAGGTTTTGATGCATTTTGGAAGCTCCCTTTGAATTGCTGTTTTCATTTCGTTCCCAGCAGTTTCAGCCCTGCAAGGTGTTAGCGATTTATTTTCCACTTCAACTTTGAGACATAGCTCCAGATACAAAACCAAACTTGATTTTTTTCTTTATTGTCTCATCCTTTCTTGTATTGCATCTCCTCAGAAACCAGACGACATCCCTGTACATTTAAAGCGAGGGTATCCTGACAGGCTGCTGTATCGCACCACCATGGCTCTTACCGTCGGAGGAGTTGTCTACTGCCTAGTGGCTCTTTACATCGCAGCTCAGCCCAACAGAAAGTGACCAATGCCAACCCTGGATCTTTGTGTCCCACCTCTGACTTGTTGCTGCTGCAATCATCCAAACATTCACAGCCTCCCCTCACTGGAGCGCCTGTCGGGACTCTTTTTGTAAATGAGAATTTTGCCTCTTAGTACCGTGGTTCTCAAACTAGAGGGGGTGCTTTATGACCTTAGGGACAAGTAGCCAAATGAAGCTGAATGAATACGACTCAAGTGATTTGTTATCATGCAGATCCTGTTTTCTTGTAAATTCAGTGATTATTTTTCGACCACAAACCTTTGAGAGCCACTGCACTATCAGGACATCAAACCAATTGTAACAATCATACTGTCTGTCTATGAAAAAGATGTCTAAGTTAATAAATTTTAAGGGAAAGGGTGTTTATCTGTTTCCTTTTATTGGATTTCTGCAGCACCCTCCATTTGAGTGAGGTGTAATGCCAGCTGACAGAAGCTCGAGCAGCACAAATTTCTATAGGGTAGCACGCGCCATCACCACCAGCTCATCAGTGTGATGGAGACTCATCTGGGAATCAGTTACTGCTCACTCGTACTCATCCAGTCATGTGTGATCCCTGGTGTGATGTCACTTTATTCTCACCACCACATGATCCACTCAGCCTTTTCTCGTTTGATGACATATTTATTTTTCCAATTTGGGTCATCTAAAAGTTTTTAATAATTACTAAAATAAATGAAAGTTGGAAGTTCAGACCTTTTGAAGTGTGTTTCAATAAAAAGGTTAAAAATGACTAATATCTTATTGTAGGTAGCTGTGAGTGGCCTTAGTCTCGATGAAAATGCATGGATTCTGACCAGATAACAGTAAATCAGGCTCAAAAGGTGTTTTTTTAAGTAATAACATTGACGGTGCAGTTTATGTATGATTACTCTAGTAGAAACAGGAAAGTGTGTGACTGATCTAAAATGTCAAACTGGCATTGTGAGTGTTTATAAAATATTAGCATGAATATTTTGGGGATTAGTTACTTAGATTGGCATCATTGCACTTTGTAACCAACTAGCTGTTAGCTCGTCAGTCTCGTCAGAACTAATCTTTCTTCTGCTAAAGTGGTTTAAAGTTGCAGCAAATTTTCATAAACCTTCCAAATAAATCGAGAACCCAGCTTGTTTATTCTAATAAAAATGAAACATTTAAACGACTGGCTGGATTTGGCAAACCTCTGACTAATAGCGGAGAGCAGAAGAGATGCTCAGAACGAACATGTTGAGCAGGGTTAGAAGTCGTCGCAGGCTTCCATATCCTGCCAGAACAGAAATAGGAGGAAGCAGGAGGAACAGGATCACCAGAACCGGACATCTGAACACACAGAGGCACAAAGCTGATCCCATGAATCTATATCTGTTATGATTCTGAAATGTGTTCAAGTTTACTACCTTATATGTAGTAGCCAAGTTCCTGAACATACTTTGATTTGAAAAATCAAGATTACTCCAACAGGATTAATGAGCTCAGACCAAAGCGGACTGTTGCTGTCTTATAACAGTGCCAGTCGCCAAATTACACAAGGTGCATGTAAATAGTGGGTTATATATCCAGGGTATCCGCGGGTCCTTAAAAAGTCTTAAATTAGCTTTTCCTAATTTAAGGCCTTAAAAGTCCTTAAAAATGACAAATAATCCTTAAATCCAGTTTCCAAAGGTCTTAAATGACCAAAGACCCAATAAACAAGATTCTTTTATTTCTATAAAAATTTCGTGAATTTCTAGTTAGTGTTCAGCATTTTTTGTGTATGATGTTGACGTAAGCGGAACCGTACGCAGTCAGCTGGTTGTGAAAGGGGGCTATTTTTTTAGATGAGCACATTAGTTGGTTAAGCTAGTGGGAGCTTGCACCATGGGGAAGGGCAAGTTTAATGGTAACTGGATGGCTAATCCCACGTTTGCGACGTGGTTAGCACCGGTTCCAGGCAATAGCTGGAAATTATCGCTTAAATTTAATTTTTAAAATAGCTTAAATTTGGTCAAAGTGGCCTTAAAAAAGGTCTTAAAAAGTCTTAAATTTGGCTCCCTTAAATCTGCAGATACCCTGATATCCGAGTGCCATCAGTTTAGCATTAAGTCTGGGCCAGACTGCATGTTTATGGCTGTCCCCGACAAATTGCTCGTTAACATAATCGTGACAAAAAAAGGTGAACATGAGTGTGATTTGCAGGCCTGTGGGCGTCTAGTATGACTTGCCCACCAACAGCACGACCAAATTCTGCCTCCAACAGTCTTTGAGCAGTGTCAGAAAACCTTTGACTCCGGTCTGCGATCGACCAATGAAAATACACACAGGGAGTAACGTGAAAAACAAGTGATGAGAGTACAACGTGAGAATGAAATCTTAGACCATACAGTTTGCAATCTTTCCAGAGTGCTGACTGTGCAACAAAAAATGCACTGTGTGGCCCAGGCTTTTGATGCTATTTCAGAAAAAACATTGCAAAGTTTCTGCCACATTTGACACCTGAATGCACCATTGCATAGATACAGCTTATGGCATGTCAATTACTACAGTGAAAAACCGATGACAGTGTCAACATTTATAAAATAACACTCTGTAAAACGTTAATGCAATGGAAACTCAAGCTGTTTTAAGACACCATCTATCCCCTTTGATATTGGCTGTGGTCGGACGAGCTGTTAGTTTATCAGTCCTGTAGGATGTAAACTATTTCTGCGCAGGCAGCTATCTACAACAGGTAAGATAGTAATGATTACTAACTTTTCACACAGAAACTCTGCAGTAGATCTGTTGAGCACTTCGGTTCTGGACCCAGGCTGAACGCATTAGTCTCTCTTTATGACATTTTTCTTCTGTTGGTAGCTGCTGGCTATAATGCATCATGTCACAAAGCAAGTCCTGGTTTGGTGGAAATGAATGATTCTGAAGTGACTACAGCTGCGGCGGAGTGGCTTTAGAATGAGGTAAAACATTTGCAGCACGCAACTGACAAGTCATTCATGTGTAAAAGGATCAGGAACTCAAAGGTTATTCTCGACTTCTCGTGCAACCCACGACAACAAGACAGAAGGCTGTTTTGAAAGGAAGAGGAGTATAGTGCTCAGGTATCGTACCAGAGAGACTGAATGTGATGAAGTAGGCTTTGACACTCGTTCCTTGAATTTTTCATGTTTTTTTTTTTGATTGATTACTCTTTCATTGTATGCATTTTATGATTTATGTTTGTCAGGATTTGTGATGGTGAGATATTAAACAGACTCAAGGCCATTATCATCACTTAGCTGCAGTTAGCTGTTAAGTTTCATGTCCTCATAGCCTTTGCTGTACTGATTGCTCTGTGATGGTGGTCGTACTCCACCAGCACCAGCACCACAATTTTTCTTGTGATTTGCTGTTGTACTCTGTGGGATTTATAATGAGACCAAAAATTGCTTTTTGAGACAGCGCCAGGATGATCTGAGACACAAAGACATCAGTGAGCGAGGCAACGGCGTGGTCTTACCCTGGTTATCTGAGCTCCATTCTTCTGAAGATGACCTTCTGCTCATGGCCAAGTCAGAGAAAGGAAGAGTGAGAATTAGGTAAAGGTTAGACTATCTGATATCTTTGTCTCTTTACTCACCTGCCAGTTTCGGGATATAAATCCAGCTCTCAGTTCTGGACTTCATAAAATCAGGGTCTTGTTGCTGATTGGTGCAGCTTTAATTGATCCAGATTTTCACTAACATTAAACATTCAAGAAGGTGTCACAACAAATGTGAAAATACTTTAAATCCATCAAATTTCTTTATTTCCCTACTCTCACTTGATATTGTTGGCTGTTACCATGGAAACACATGTCAGTGTCTTAACTTTAATTGATCAAGACAAGTTGCTTTGTCACCATAGCAACACCAAGATTTTGGGGACCAGTGCAACCACACTGGTCATGGTCAGTAGATGTGAAACAATGTTAGCAATGTTAGTTATCTAGAGCTGATGCTTTAGATAGATGTGGATAGAAATTAATTATTTGTAACTTTTATGTTTAATAGTGCCAATTTTTTGTTTTATTTGTTCATGTCTTTTTTTTATCAAGAACATCAGTTTTGAATGTTTTGATTTTTAAATTAAATGTGCACTGTTTCAGTTTACCTGTTGGGTAAATTTAAGATATTTAGTTTAAACAAAGTGACTTTTCATAGAATTTAAAGTTTATGCAGTTAAATTATAATCAAAATCAGAGAAAAACCTCAAACTATTTAATTAGATTGTTAAATTTGCATTTATTAAAGTGACAAAGTGTATTTTCCATGGTGATGGGGCAGTACAAATCTAAATCATTGCAAGCAAGCAGTATTTTTGTGTTTGAGTAAGACCTTACCAACGGATAGCCATTAGAGTCAAAAACCCCTGGGAGCGCAGCCTCCAGCAAAATGACGAGCACATCAGACTTCCTTTCATCACTGGTAATGAGTGAAGAGGTAAATGTGTAAAACACCGTTTATGAATGGTGAAAGTTTTGTAACCATTTGTTTCAAATTAGTAAATGCGTTTTGGCCTCACAGGCACCCATAGAAGGAAATATGGTGCCTAATATGGCGTCACCCAGAGACCCGCTCCCATGTATTTTAGACCTGATTTTATGGTAATATGTTACAACAACTGAACACCATTTAATTCATTTTCAACAACATTCCGATGGATGTTTCCAGAGATTAACCTTAAACTACAAATTGTTACATTAATGAGATTCAGTAATTTTTAACTTATATTATACAAACATGTTGTGTTAGTGTCATTACTAATCAAATGCAATTATATTCCTCTTGTATCAATTCACCCCACCAAATATTTCTCCTACTATCTACCTTTAAGCAGTTTTCCTACACAAACACTGTTTTTTATAGTTTGCACCTCTGACAATATGGCAGATATTCTTAATGTATTGTGAGGTGCCTGTGACATCAACCGATCTTGATTAACCTGTTAAATGTTTATTTTAGTTTTATTAAACAATTGTTCTTACTTTATTAACATTTGTTCACTTTTTTTTGGATGAGAGGGTGGAAAAACTTTCATTAAAACAGCAAGAATTTGTATCGAAAAGTAACATTACTTTTTAAATTTAAGGCCTTTGAAATATTGATTTACTTATAAAAAACATAAAAGAGGCCATTTCTACAGTCATTAGAATAAATCGTTTGTATACCAGAACTTTGTTCCTCAGAATCACAAGCGCATTAAATATTCAAGAGTCATTGAAAACCTTATTTTAATAATTCATCTCATATGATGAATCCTTTAAAAGTGCCTTCATGCCCACTTGAACATCCTGGAGCAACAATGACTCTTTTTGTTCCTGTCAGAGCACACAGGAACCCCCCGGGACTTGTGCAATAACATGTTTACAACTAGCCCATCTCTCCTGTT